CCTGTACTATAGCCCATAGTTTTTTCCAAAAATGGCTAAAAAATCACTCCAAATTTTTATTACATTTTCTGATACATATTGATGTCCTTATGCTGTGTAGAAAGTTTGAGATGATTCCAACTTCAATTTTTAAAGTTATGGCCATTTTGAGAAAACGTCGAAAATCTAAAAAATACCCAAGGCTATAGCCCATGGGTTTTTCCCCAAAAAATGGCTCCGAAATCACTCCAAATTTTTATTACATTTTCTGATACATACTGATGTCCTTATGCTGTGTAGAAAGTTTGAGCTGATTCCGACTTCAATTTTTCAAGTTTTGGCCATTTTAAGAAAATGCCAAAAATTAGAAAAATACCCAAGGCTATAGTCCATGGCTTTTTCCAAAAAATGGCCAAAAATTGACCCCCATTTTTTATTACATTTTCTGATACATATTGATGTCCTTATGCTGTGTAGCAAGTTTGAGCTGATTCTAACTTCAATTTTTCAAGTTACGGCCATTTTAAGAAATGCCAAAAATCTGAAAAAAAAACCCAAGGCTATAGCCCATGGTTTTTTCCAAAAAATGGCTCTGAAATGACTCCAAATTTTTATTACATTTTCTGATACATATACATGTACTTATGGTGTCTATATTCATTCCTTAGGATGCTGGTCAGTCTCCTCCTCCAGTCGTGTTAGTGATTGAATGTGTTGAGTCAGTTCCTGTCCCTCTATTGACTGAGCTCCTACTGATACTTCAGTGAGTCAGTCTACTGTACATACTGTACTAGTAATACTGTAGTTGTGGCATCACGTGAAGGATGCTTTTCATCTAAAGTGTATCAATTGAGTGTATTTCTTCTGCTCATAGTATTTACTTGGCAGTGCTACAACATTCCCTAAACCGTTACACATTAATACTTGCTCTAGTCACTATTCTTCTTTTCCTTCCTGTGGCTCCAAGTGTTACTCATTCCTCACTCACCCACTGGACCTTTAGTGGCTTCCTTTAGTACATTATCCAGCACTAGAATCATTATACAAATCATTTATTTGAAATATTTGCACAATCAAAACTAATAAGTTATAAAATACAATCAAACACTATAACTAACACACACTAATCTCCCTATCAAATTCAAACTATAATAATAATAATAATAATAATAATAATAATAATAATGTTATTATTTCCACTTGAGTAAAGTCACTCCTCCAGTGCAGTCTCCGCCCATTATAACTGCTTCCCCTGGTTCCTGTCCTTGTACAGCTCCCATTGCCTCTATTGATGAGGTCCAGTTAAAATGGCCGACCTGACGGAGGTGGCCAGACTTATCAATAGCCTCTGTACTCCACATCTTGATGGTAGAGTCCAGTGACCCAGTGATGAGGAACTGGTTGAATGATGTTATTGAAGACACTCCATCAGCATGTACTGTCTGAGTTGCTATGAATGTCTTAGAAGATATACTCCACAAATGAACCTGTCCTGAGCTGTCACCAATGGCTATATACTTGTCCTGTACTGGTGTCATTGCTAATGGCCATACCTTGTTCTCCTCACCACCAGTCCTGGTTGATATTGGTATCTTGTGTTGCTGTCCTGCCACTGTCACTGGTCCTGAAGCACTCTTCCTTCCTTTACCTGTCGCTGGAGGTTTAGGTGGTGGATATTCAACCATAACCTGATCAACTCCAATAGAATAGACTGTGCTCTGATTGCTGCCAGTACTAACAGTACAAGTATCTATAACCCAGTCCTTGTGACCCTCCATCTTTGCTACTGGTCTCCTTCCATTGTGTAGTGCCATTAGTTGGTTGTTCCATGAACTGGCTATCAAGAAGTTCTTGTCATTCGTTAGTCTAACCTGTGAGATAGGGGCGGGGCCCATTAGGTTCTTAGAAGCTATTGTTACTACCAGTAATGGGTATTCCGTTTCAGTTAGTTTCCAAACCGTTATCTCACCTGTGTCACTCCCTACCACCACTGTAAGTTTT